AACTCACCCGAACGTGAGAATTCTATCGTGTCCTACACGACAGATCGGGCCCGCGAGATCTCACATTTATCACCCCGTTCGGATTATTTGAATGAAGTCGAATGCCTTTTGGCCTGAAAAGTGCCCCGCAGATTTAGCAACGCCTCGTACACAATGTGCTGTATGGATTTCTGAAAATCTCGCGATCAGGCGACGCCAGGACTACAACGGACGCTTTCCAGACAGGGATCGCGGACGATCCTGATCGTGGGTCAGTGTTGGGACGAAGATCATACATTGACGACATCATGATCGCAGCAGAATCGTGGGATTAAGTGTGCCAAAGAGTGGAAGATCTGTTGGAGGCTTGTGATAAGCGGAATTTATCGATCAGTGTGGTGAAGAGCTTCTGGAGCATGGATAAGGTAGGATATCTGGGGCGCCGAGTGTCGCTCGGAGGTCTAGAGGCGAACCCAAAAGATCTGAAATCCCTGAGCGATCTGCCATTCCCCAGGTCACTTCGATCCATGCAGTCGTTCCTGGGTAGTTTGAATTACTACAGCCGATTCATTGATGACTACGCTATTTACGCTTCGGTGCTACATGAACTACGCGAGGTGGAGATCGCAGAACTGGAGAAACGATCAGATGTAAGGAAGATCATGGACCAGAACGACCCGATTGCACGAGATAACAGCCCACTGGAGCTGCGGCTGGCGGAACCATTAGATGATAGGTGGATCAGGGCGCATAGGGCTTTCACCACCCTGAAAACCAAGATCGCGACGACCCCAATTCTCCGCCACTTCGATGAGACGAGAACGCCGGTAGTTATTGTATATGCCAGTGATTGGGCGATATCCACGTCGTTGACGCAAGAACACGACGGGATCTACCATCCGGTCGCGTTCGCCAGCCGTACCTTGAAGACGAACGAGTTGAATTATAATGTGACGAAAAGGAGGTGTTGGTATTGCTGAGGATCTTGGATCTCTACTACAATTTATTAGTAGGACGCGAGATCCGGGTCCTGACGAGGCATTCCACGTTAGTCTGGCTGTTCAAGTCGACAGGATTACAGGGTCGCCTAGGGCAATGGTCAACCCACCTGGCCCCGTGGACTCTCGAGGTCACGAAGTGCACGAAGGGCAAGGACGAGATACTGGGGGCGATCGCCTCCAGCATCAAGCTGAGGGCGAATATGGACGACGCTCTAACCAACATCGCCCCTCGGAAGGAACCTAAACGCCGGATCCAAACGCCGATACTCACCGTGGATCGAGAAGAGGAATTATGGGTGGTCAGTTGTGATGGATCAGCTCGAGTGAAGCATGGCGGTGGCGCGTTCAGCGCGATCGTGTGGAGTCTGCACGGATGGGAGGTGGTCAAAGCTAGATCGAGTTACCTCGAGAGTCTCGCCGTGAACGAGGCAGAATACAACGGCCTGATCCTGGGACTCGGCATGCTATAGGACCTAGATCACAAGCGCCTAGTGATCGCACAATGCGGTGATTCCAACTTAGTGATCCGACAAGTACGAGGCGAGATCGATTGCAAAGCACCCGGTCTGACGCTTTTGAAGCGGAAGGCCCTCGATCGATTGAGGAAATGAAGCGATCACGAACTAGTGCATGTGAAGAGAGACTAGGATGGGAGTGCCGACAGCCTAGCGAGTGCCGCTTTGCAACGACAAGGTGGGATCGAGGTCCAGGGAAGGCCCGAATACCAAGATCTGGTCACCTTGAACCGGTTGGACGAAATACTGATTCCCAAGACCGAGAACCCAGTGGTGCGAGTTGCAGCGGTTACCACCCGAGCTACTCGAGTAAGATCACCTGCCGTTGTCATGCAAGAAGACCTTGTCCGAGCGATGCGGGTCGGTCGGATCAGGCAGGCTCTGGAGGAGGAAGCCTGGATCACAAGCATGAAGAAGTATCTGAGTGGCTCGATCGTCGACCTCACGCAAGCAGAAGAAAGGTCGTACGGCAAGGTCGCTGCCGACTATGAGGTGGACGAACAGGATCTACTCTTCTACTGCCCTCCCACGGCGCGATCAGGAGATGATCGCGATCGGTTGCTGAGATTGGCAGTTCCCGAAACGCTACAATCGGACGTCTTACATCACTATCACACTACGCTGGAAGGAGGACATCAGGGAGTGGGACGTACCTACCAGCGGATCAGGGACCGCTTCCACTGGAGAGAATGATGTCGGAGCGTCCAGCGATAGGTGGGGAATGCGTGGACTGTGAAACGGGAAAAGCAAAACCGGTGATCCGGGGTGAATCACCAAGGAAGTTGCAGCGACATACCCGTTCCAGATCATTGCGATGGATCACATACCTTCGCGGCCCAGATCCCACAAGGGGAATACGGAGCTTTGATCTGGGTCGATCTGTTCACAGGATACGTGATCGCGAAAGCTAGCTCGTCCCGGTCGGCCTAGACGGTCGCGGAATCGTACGAAGAGTGCATATTTCGGCGATTCGGTGTCAGCGAGATGATCCGGCATGATCGAGAACCCGGCTTCATGTCTGATTTCTTCCGGGCGTTTAACAAGATTTTGGAACAGCGGCAGCGGGCGACGATGGCATATCGTCCACAGGCCAACGGGACGGCTGAGAGAATGGTGCAGACCGCGACCAGAGCGCTCAAGATGTACGTTCGCGATCTGGATCAGAAGGATTGGGA